TTATATTACCCCCATTTACAGATGAGGAAACCAAGACTTGGAAAGACAAACTTGACTTGGGTTGTTGACATGGGTAGTGGTGGCACCCAAGATCCCTTGGTGGGCAGGACAAGTCCTCTGAGGGAGGTTGGAGGTGGTCCCAGTGCCTCAGGGGATAGGGGGTGGGGAGACAGCTCCCCCTTTTGCCTCAGGAGCAGAGGCCCCTGGTCTGTGTAAAAGCAGTTTGTTTCTAATTTGGGGGATGAATTCTTAAAAATACCAACAGGAGCCATTGAAGTGAATAATATATACACCAATGCAGCTCAGTCAATTTAAGATAAACTTCTCTCTAAAATCTATTTCAGGACTTACACCCCTGTTCCATGCATGTATGATGGCTCAGAGGAGTTTTATTAGCTCCCCAGCCTTTATTTTCATGAACTTGGAAATGAGATTTTTTCCCCCTATGCGTCAGCCTTCAAAATTTTAATGAAAGATCTGAGCTACTATGGCTTTTATAATTTGCATTACAGTACTCAAGTGCAGAGCAGATGATAACGACAGATAAAGACCCTGGGTGTAGGGCAGACCTGACTCAAGGTAGGGGTTCGGGATGAGTGCTGCCAGCTCCGGCTTCCGGAGGAATGGGCCTTGGAGGGCCTGGGAGCTTTCTGGGCTCTTCCTCTCTGAGATGGGAAGTGAAGGTTTGGTGAGATCAACCAGCCCCTGATCTCTCCTGCCTTCTTTTCTTATCCCCAAATCACTTGGCTCCTGAGTACCAAGCCTTGTACCTATTAACAAATGGGAGGTAATTTTAAGATATGCATGCAGACAGCACAGAAGCTGCAGGACTTCATTGGGTGACTGGGAGCTGGAACCTGGGTGAGGGTCTGCTTGTGTCCCAGAACTCCTGGGATCATGGACGGTCCACTGCCAATGGTTTCAGGTTAGAAGGCAGAGCTGGAGGCTCAGAGAGGAGGAGGGACATGCCCAGGGCACACACACTGGCCTGGAGCCTGGCGAGGCCTCCTGATGACCGTGACGGGGTGGCTGGGGTGGGGGTGGCAGCCACGCTGCTCAGAGCTTCAGTTTTCCTCTTGCTTCTGAGCAGCTCG